AGCCGAGCTTCTTTTTCTGTCTCTCTCCCCGTCGCTTTGAGTACGCGCTTTTATTATTTGATAACTACGTGCTAGTTAGCTTAGTTTGTTCATCGCACCATCAGTGTAACGCGTTGTTGAGAGAATACAACAAATACGAGTTTGTCTTTGTCTTCTTAGAGTCTTATGCAGAGTTCTCACGGACAACCTTATTCAAAGTCGCACTTCTCTCACTCGTGACCCTCGAAGCGCAGGCTGATACGCCGATGGCTAACTCCGCGACCTCTCGTTTGCGTGTCCTTTAGGCAGTCCGAAGGAAAAAAAAACAAAACAAAAAAAAGCACACATTCCTAGGATCAGATGACCCGAACGTATGCAGCGATCGGGTCCATATCACAAGAGCGAATGACATTTTAGCGAACGGTGACATTTGAGCGAATGGTCGTTTTAGCGAATAACGGGGGCGCGCGTTAACCCATCCGTCGCGCTGCGCTTTACGCCGCTTCGCGGCGACAGTCTGCGGCAACCCATTAGTAAAATATGAACTCATTGGCCCACCCGAAAACGCCGCTTCGCGGCGTCCGACTATTCGCTAAAGTGTCATTCGATGAAACGTGGGCGTTCGCTAAAACGTCATTCGATCAAATGAGTGCCTCCCGCAGCGATCATGGCCAAGAATGCGTACATAAGACGCTCCATGCTCTCCGATGGAAAGCCTCCCTGCCGCCGGAGCGCCGGCGAGCCAGAAGCCGCACCGAAAACCTGGCACCCAACCACGCCTGCATTTGGCAATGCCTTCATTACAGACAACAGTTACGCAACGGGAAGGCGCACCTGCGGGGCCAGGAACCACACACCGACGCCGCAGCGTGCCGATTCCGCGGCCGCGTCGGCCTCGGGTATAGACGCATCGGGAGCAGCGACCACCACCACCACCGAGATGTACTACTCTCCTTCTCGCGTGACCCGGAGACCTAAGCCGGCGTTTGACACACACCGCGGGGCATGTGCGGCCAGCTGGCCATTCAGACCCCGAGGTTTTTGACCCTCGCAGGAATGCGCAGCTTCTGGGAAAAGGTTCCCTCGGTGGCGGCCCGGTGGGGAGTTGGCGCAGCGCGGCCACGTACAATGGGCAGGGCGGGAGGGGGGCACCGCGGCGGGCAAGACGTCGAGTGGGGGGAGCCCCCGGGGGACGCGGCGGCGGGGGCTGACGGCAAGACGACCCCCGGTGACCGCGAGGGCAGCGCGCGCTTTGGTGGGGGAGACTCGCGCTCGAAATATCGTCAGGTTGGCAGGTGGTGTGGGGTCGCCTCCCCCGTGTCTCGTATTTATATTCGAAGAGTTGTCGCCCGGCTTGTGAACAAGACTCGCACGTCTACGGTCCCGCGTCGCACATCCAATCGTTACGATCTACGGAAGGAACCCGAAGGTTGATGGGGAAGAGATAACGTTTTCACGAGTGAATGCCATCTTGTGAGCTTGAGTCGCCCGATTCGTATACCATTACGCATCGCTAATAAAATTTCCGAGAAAAAACAATTTTTTCCCTTTTATGTGGCATATTCATTCTGCAGAACGGAATCGTTGTCACTAAACGAACTCTGCGGAGGACTAGGTGCATGCGAACGAACTCTGTACCACTTTGTATACGGAGAATAGTGCAGATATCATTTTAATCGTTCTTCTTGAAGTTTTTTTGTCCCCTGATTTTTTGGTGTATTTTTTTGTTGATCGGCAGCTGGGCGGTTGTTACTCTACAGCTGAACATTCAACCAGAGGCGCAGCGAAACATTATTTAGGGGGGGGGGGGGGGGGGCGGAGGGGGGAGGAGGGTTGAGGTGACTGGGATGTTCATGACTTGGGTAAAAAAAAAGGGGGGGGGGTCAAAATGCATGTGTATACATAGGGTCGGCTGGGCTTCACTGATAACCCTCCCTCCTGGCTTCGCCACGTTGAACACTCATTGATGACCGCACTTATAACTCTTCCACGTCACAAACCCGCATCAAACGAAAGCATTTGTTAGCAAGCACTATGATGAAGACAGACCGGAGTGAAGTTTCCTTCCCCGGGGCTCTAATCTCCATGGACCTTGTTGCCACGCCAGCTCGATCCAGGATCCAATCTCGTAAATGACACGTGGAAGTCTTTGGTCAAAAACGGTAAAGATGTCGGTGACTATGATAACGAATCTCTGACGTAACCAGCTAACTCCAGAGTTTTAAGCGGTCCGGTGATGATGCACGGTCAGTGCCCGCCTTTTCACCCGAGGTCATTAGACGAGCATGGAAGCCGATATCTCGCTCTACGCCGTGCACCGCTAAGCTGACGGGACGGTGGTTAAGCCACGTGCTAGTTGGACCAGTCACAATACGATATTTCGTCACATGATCACGCTCCCGCCGGCCCATGCCCACACGCAGAAAGCGGGATCAGGCGATGAAAGCGGCGTCGATTGACTCGTCCGTTGATGGCGCAGCTCCCACCGGCCTGTCAGCTTAAAGGGGTGAACTAGAGTGAACGGAGTACATGATCGCCACGCAGGCAAGGCGTAAACACTGGTTGCTAAGTTTCGTTTTCGTGCTTGGGCGCACGTCCAAAATGTTCACGGCGTGGGATGTTTATTCTTGCAGTCTCCGTCGACCTCCCCCGTTTTTCAAGTCACTCGCTGATTGTGAAAACGGCACGCGTTGCCGTCGCCGATGTAAAATACACCGGGTAGCTGAGGCTGCACGCAAATCACTCACCGCCAGGGTTCGTGTCTCGACACAGTGTCAGAAACAAGGCTGACACGAGCGGCAGGAGAATCAGTCCCAACCCCCGTGTGAATACCCGCAGCCAGCTCTCTAATTATGCTCGCTTTTGTTTTGCCTGTTAGAGAAGTTGAATGAACAATTGCCTGGTTGAATTTGCCCTATGCGCGCCCTTGATATTATTCCATAGCCATACCAGAGTCCTTCAATTACGCTATTGGTCACGAAACTTTATTGTATATTTATTTATTTACTTCATTCTGCAGACCCTTACAGGTCCAAGCAGGATGGCGGACAAAAACAACAAATAACGCTACATCAACAGTGGTTATAGGGAAATAACATTCTAAACATACTGCAGCACAAGGCAGTGCACAAAAGACAAGTCTACGCTGCGGGAGAGTTGCCGATAAAGCGGCTTAGAGCCGTCAATCTAGCCAGCGGCAATGAGAGTGTGGCAACCATGAACTGGTCGGCATTTTGAACCCTATCGGAATGGACCACCCCAAAGATCGTGGTGATACGTCATCACAATGGCAGCGCTTCTCGTTAATGTAAGCATCTTTGGCTGTGTACACTCAATGCTGCTCAAACTTTGATATCTTCAGCGTTCTACAAAATAATATTAATTGTCATTCGTTTTTTCCAGTGACTTTTCAATACTCCCATCACCGTCTCACTTCAGCATCGCCATCAAGTAGAGGCACTGAGAACTCGTACGCTCAATTGCCTAGCTATTTTTCGCTTTCAGAAGCAAAATCATAACTTTTGATAGCAAACGAAAAAAAGCCTATTTGTTTGGTCTGTGCAGAGAGGTCAACAAAAACTGACATCTAGGTAAACATATCTGTCTTTGCTTCACAACCCTCTCTCTCTCTCACACACACAATTTTCTTAGCGGTTTTTGCATGTGCACTGCCTTGTGAAGCACGCGAAACACTGAAAAAAAGCAGTCATTGTACTTTTGTTTAGTCAATGAGCTTACGAGAAGAGTCATCTGTATCTTGCTCCATAAACCATTGAGTCCGTTTCAAAAATGCGCCCTCACCCGTTGCTTCCGAGAATACATGGTCATGAAAGCACGATACAAGTCGTTTTTTTTTATTAGTCTATAACTGGTTATAGAAAGATCAGTGCTAAAGTTAAAGATTGGGCGAGTTGGTGTGACATACTTAAAAGGTTAAAACAGCGCAAAAAACGACGGACAGGGTAAAGAAAGACAGAGCGCTGCGCAGAGCCCTGTCTGGGTCCTTCTTTACCCTGTCTGTCGTTTTTTGCGCTGTTTTAACCTTTTAAGAAAGATCAGTGATTAGTGTTTCAAGTGTATTGTAGGCATCAATATTTTGAGTTTATAAAAAAATATATATATACAAAATGTCAACCTGCGTTGATGTTTTGGTTCGCTACCTTACGAAAGAAAAGGCTCGCGTATGCGTCACTTAGAGTGAATGGTAAGCTTGATATAAACGCATAAATGGAGGACGGAGCACTTTCTGGCAGACGTTGGAATGCAGAATAACCGAATAATCTAGCACGAGTAGGTTATTCGGTCATCCTTGACATTCCAGCCTAATTTTTTTTACATGTTTTTATGCAGGTTATTGTCTGAAGTACGATAATGTTGAGAGCTGGGCTAGTTGATGGAAATTAAACATGGTGTAGGCGTAACAACGCGTGACAACTAAAACAAAGGAAATAAATTTATGGCTCGTGTTCCTATCCTTTGTCTTCGCTATTCCGCGCTGTTACATCTACAGCATGTTTATTTTCTAAAGGTCAATGAGAGAGAGACATCCTAATTGTGGTAACTAATTTCTATGCTCCTGAAATTGCATTCTATCTTAATTTAAGGCAACGATGATATCTTCTATCTCGCTAATTAGGACGTGAACAAAGACTTCTCCGCTCCGTGCGTTGCTTTCCTTTAATTACATCTTCAGTATACGTAGAAATTTGGGATTTCTGATTGGAGGTTAAAATAGCTATTTGGAAGGTTTTTTAGGTTCATAGAATTATCTACATAATTGTGGAATCAGTCATACTGCAAAAAGGTTTTACATACCTGAATGAATCTTTTAGATCTCCTTATCGCTATACGTTCTCGAGGATTTGATACAAGCTGCGAGGACAATATTCGCTTCAACCAGACTATCGCTGACAGCAGCTTTCCGAAAGCTCAATTTGTGTGTGCGTGTTCTTTTAAATGCCATTCATACCCCTTGGGGGAGCCCTAAAGTGAAACTGCCTTCTTTCTTTTATTCTTTTTAGCTGGACAACAAAACTGGACGCCGCTCAACTTCAGATAGCCCGGGTGACACCACTTAAACAGTCTGGGTGGAGCCAAACTATTTTTCTTTGATCCCTGATTGGACCGCTGCAGCACACAACGGGAGCGTTCTTGGATAATCTGTCGCCAAGGTATGGTGTTCATGCTCAATTTTGTCTCTCTTCCCATTTCTCCACGCCGGAACAAGCAAGGAAGCATTCTGTGGCATGGCCACTGCTTGCCGAAAACATTGACTCTGTAGAGTTTTAAGAAGAGTACGTTCTTTAGCCGTTTATATTTGATGTCATTTGGGGACTTTGAACACGTGGCAAGTCCAAAAGTTCGGTTACATTATTTCGACAAAAAAGCATGTATTTGTTTACAGATGAGTATAGTAATATCGGCTTTTGGGATCATTAAAAAAAAAACATTTATGAAAGTTGCCCACGAGCCAAACATGAAAAGAAAGAAACGTGTTTGCCATTTCACTATTACATGAAATGAGCAAACCACAGATATCGACCATGTCAGCTTTGTCTGTGGACTGCTTTTATGGCTATATAGAAAGCAACTTTGCATAATGTAATCGGGTCGCGCAAAACAAATATATAAAAAAAAAAGATTTTTGTTTGTAAATTATAGTGCATAATAGACCGTCTGAGTGGTTTGGGGAGAAATTTGGTGCGCGGGTATTTTTGAAAGTGACACTCTAAAAAGCCTGTGAGGCTACTTCATCTCGCAGCACGCCCAAGGTTTATCATGAGTGCGAACGTATACAGCTCCCAGCAAGTGTTCAGTTCAAAAACGTGAAATACGCACGGTCGCTCACTCATTGTCTCCTTTACGTTAAGATTTTCTACGCCGCCCTGTACAAACAATAAATTGTTTTAAGATAAGGAGCCTCCGCAGAATTTTTGCGCATGCGCATTGCGACACCCCAAGCTGCTCGGGGGGACCCAAATGTGTTTGGGGCCGCCCTATTCTAAGATTCTCTAAATACTTTCGCATGTATACGGTCTCGGGAAAAATTTCTTAATTTCTTGCGCTACAACGGCATTTGCATGCGAACCAAATGACGCAGTAATGAATCTTGTACGCCCACTTCATAGCGAGCGTGTTTCTTGTTCTTGTAAGCGGCGTTTATCTTCTCCAACCCTGACCACGAGACGTTTGTCCCGTGCGTGGCGGCCGAGCGCGCCGTAAATTCAACTTCCTGTATCTCGACGACAATCTTGTCAGCCTACTATCGTAGTTGTCGCGGCTCACTCTTTATTTGGAAATATCGGTGCCTCGGTAGTTCCATTTCACCCAACAGCGCCAACACCCAAAACGGGGTGGGATTGCTTCCATCCGATCGTTTTAGATTGAAGAGAAGAAATTTTCGGACGGTGTTTGTTTTGGGGTTGGACGCAAGGCTGACGCTCGCAGTTCGCCGTTTTGAGAATTAAATTTTTGTCTATTTGTGTATCTTTCGTGGCTCTGAGAATTAACACATTCTCGTAATATGGATCTGTGATTCACTAGTCGCGTCGCATCACATCTCTGGAGATCGAAGGAAAATGACTCTGGACTAAATAGAAGGAATATTGGAGGTTATACAAAACTACAGAAATATTGAGCCCTAATATTTAAGTCTAGTAATCTTAGAGTTACAGAAACACATAAACAATATCTAGACTTTACTATTTGCCGCCCCCCCCCCCCCCCCCCCCCCCCCGGCCGGCTTCCAAAGCGTGACTCGTCTGCCAGCACCTTCAGAAGAACAGCTTTAAAGGGTTATTCACACGAGGGGGGAATCACGGAAATTTCTCCCCTACGCGCGCTTCATGCGACAAATACGACAGGCTTTTGCGACCCGGCCCTATGACGTCAGCTACGCGGCAAAGGGAGGGAAAGGTGGTCGGGCGGCACAAACAAGTCTGCTTTGGAGCCCGATCAATTTGTTTTCAATTATATCTCGTAACTGTTTGGTGTCAAGTGTAGAAAGCGTTAAATTGGACTGCAGACGCTGACATCCTTTCAGTCGGTGCCTCGCCGGAGTGAACGACGAAGCTGAGGAAGAAATTGCGCCTGTTGTCGACGTCACGCGCATCCCAGCGCGGATTTCTCCGTCGCGTGAATACGCCTTTAAAGGGACCATGAAATTAATTTTATGTTGGGATAATTCGGGATTTTACCAACCGCATATTGTTAAGCGCGCAAAAAGAAATTTAACTAGTGCACGAGTGTAGAAAGCCTAAAGCCTGCTTTTCGTTACGAAAGTTTGAAAATACAGTGGACTTTTTTGTACCCCCTTTCTTCGAAAACTCTCCGCCTTTTCCCTGTGATGCACTCGTAATGCTCAAGCACGTTTGCCTACCACATCTCACACATTGGACACGAGTACTGCATAACTCGGACGTATTTGCTCGTCAACAATCAAGCCGTCGACGAATATTTGAATTCGCGTTCGTGGCCAATCAGTGCCGTGACGGGGAACTTATCATCACTTGAAATAACAAAATCTATAATGCGTAAAAAAAAAAAAAAAAAAAAAAAAAAATTTACGGTGGAAGTTTGGAGTCATCGCTTCCGGTGCCGAAGCACGTCACGACCACGTGATTTCTCATTTCACTTTTGAGTTGAGGACTAAAGCTAAGGAGGAAGAAGAGGAAAAATCACTTCATGGTCCCTTTAAGGGGTATTTACACGAGGGAGAAATCCCGGGGATTTCTCCCCGGCACGCGCATCCCACGACGAAAACGTCAGGCTTTGCGATGTGCAAAAGCCTCGCGTTTTCTTCTCGTGATGTGCGCGCGCCGGGGAGAAATCCCCGGGATTTCTCCCACGTGTGAATACCCCTTTAAGGAGCGATCATTTTGCTTTTTGTTGTGCAAAACTTTTTTTTGACTTTACATTTGGAGTTCATGATTCACTATAAAATGGGCGGTTGTTTTACGCTTCGCGAAAAACTCTTACGAAAAACACCAACAACAAAGGAAAAAAAAAATATTTCTGTGCGCCTCTGTTTGCGCTTGCACGCCTGGGCGTGTGCGTGTGTGTCTTTTTTATGCGTCTTTTTTTTTTTGTTCATTTGATCCCATGTTTTAGTTATGTTTGCGATTCACCAATTCGCCTTCTGCATTACATGTGCTCGAGCGGAAGCCGAGTGATGACGCAGAGCTTACGTTAAACTATGGGTTGTATTTTGTCCGAATTTCTTGGGGTCGAAAACGTAGCTGTCTGGAATCGCAAAAATATTTTCATAAAGTCAATAAACTTTCTAAGAGGGAAAAGAGAAAAAAAAAAAGAAAAGACCGCCCCTATTTTTTTACTTGCACAGTAGAAAATCAAGCTTCTGGCTTATCTTTATGGTATGGGCATATGAGAAAAACAAAACGGGGACTTTGGCTACTACGAACGTGCTTGCGTCAAGGTATTTGCAAACGCACAATGAAAAAGAACAGATAACATGATGCTAGGGTTATCTCTGGTGATTATCGTTGCCGGTACTACGTCTCTGCCCTTAGGTAGATGAGGTAAATCAGTCAAGTTCATTGCAAGTTAAAGGGGCTTAATTACGAGTCAATTAGTATATGAGGTTTAAAAGGAACAGTAGCGTTGATAAAAAGAGAAAGTCTCGTGAAATTTATTGGGGCATCTTTATATGATTTGATTTTTACTTTATTCACGGTGTAACCTGCTAAAGATAGATAGTATATAAAAAAAGTGAAAGCTGCTTACAACTCCCTGTAACGCCGAATTAGAGCGCAGCTCTTGAGGAGGAGGAGGGAAGGGCACTGGGGGGGGGGTTAAACTAACCAGGGGGGGTCACGTGACCTTGGGGGTCACGTGACCCCCAATGCCGATGATGTCATCACTGACGTTACTGATGACGTCATCAGTGACGATGACGATGCGGGTACCGATGACGTCATTAGTGACGTCACTGATGACTTCACCAGTGATGATGGCGATGACGATGCGAATGTCGGTGACGTCATCAGTGACGTCGCTGATGACGTCATCAGTGATGATTACGATGACGATGCGGATGTCGGTAACGTCATCAGTGATGATGACGATGACGATGCGCATGCCGGTGACGTCATCAGTGATGATGACGATGACGATGCGGATGCCGGTGACGTCATCAGTGACGATGACGATGACGATGTGGATGCCGGTGACGACATCAGTGACGTCACTGATGACGTCATCAGTGATGATGACGATGCGGATGTCGGTAACGTCATCAGTGATGATGACGAGCGGATGCCGGTGACGTCATCAGTGATGATGACGATGACGATGTGGATGCCGGTGACGATGACGTCATTGGGGGGTCACGCGACATCGGCGGGGGTCACGTGACCTCAGGGGAGTCACGTGACTTCGGGGGGTCACGTGACCTCGGGGGGGGTCACGTGCCCCCCACGAGGTCACGTGACCCCGGTGGGGGGCTCGCGCGGTGCATTATGGGACATTTCCCATGATGCACCGGGGTCACGTGACCTCGGGGGGTCACGTGCCCCCCCACGAGGTCACGTGACCCCGGTGGGGGGCTCGCGCGGTGCATTATGGGACATTTCCCATGATGCACCGCGCGGTTACGCCGACGCCGACGGCGACGGCGACGGCGACGGCGACGGCGACGCCGACGCCGCTCAAGCCGGAAACGGGCCCCCAAGAGCTGCGCTCTAAAAAAGAAAATGAAAGCCGTTTACAACTCCCTGTAACGCCGAATTAGAGTGCAGCTCTTGAGAAGGAGAAGGGAAAGGGTACAGAGGGGAGCGTATATCCGTCCTCCCTCCCCCAGTTCACATCGTCAAACTGCGTGCTGCTCTTCCCTCCGAGCGGCGTCGGCGTAACCGTGAGGTCACGTGACCCTCGTGACGTCGCGTGACCCTTGTGACCTCACGGGGGTCACGTGACCTCACGGTTACGCCGACAGCGACGGCGACGCCGACGCCGCTCAAGCCGGAAACGAGCGCCTAAGAGCTGCGCTCTTAAAAAGATAAAGTAATATATCCAACTTTCTTTTTATTACAAAGCGATCGTATCATTTCCGGGCCTTTATAGTTTTTATTGTTTTTTGTTTGTTCTAGTTGAAAGCGTATGTTTATTTTGGTGTTATGTTTTCTTGGAACATATTAATATACAGTATCGAGCA